AATGGTGAAGAGAATTTGGAATTGGAATTTTTCTGCTATGGATTCTAAACGCCAACCGCACTGCGAGTAGCAGTAAAAATTGATCCGTTCAAGCAATGTTCAATGAAGCTAGATTCTCGGCACATCTCTTGTATGTTCAACGCAGACGAATTTACTCTTTACTCTTTTATTAAACTCAGACCATTGTTTATATTTGAAAAAGACCCACCTATATATGTATGGGGCAGTCCAAGACTCAGTGAAAGGCCCAGGTAGCGCCTTTTGAATCCCCATTTAAGGATAAAAAAGAAGCAAAATCTACAATCCACTCTTGGTGCCAAACTCTAATCCTATGCATTGAGCAGTCCAGTGTGAATGGTTAACAAGCTACTGTTGAGTGTGGCCGTACAGAGTCCGATTTACTATTCTTTCATTTTCCGTACTTATCTGTATGTTTGAGGCCCGCCATCATTTTTCATTATGTTGAAAACGGTTCAATATAAGTGCGTGACTAAAAGACTTTGTAAATTGCAAAGGACTCTTATGCTATGCCCATTACCACATTATTGAGCTTCCCTGTTTTCATTACTCGAGTCCTCTAGTCATGAAAATGTTATCAGGTCTACCGAAGACGTAGTGATGTACAAAACATTTACGTCAGGCGGGACTTGAACCCGCCTTTCTCCAATCGCGGAGCGCGTGCTCTATCCCTTGCATCACCGACACTTGCTATGACACTACTCTTTATACGCTACAACGCATTTATCTGTCAACAACCAAACGTCAGCCGTTTGACCCAAGTAGTTCGTATCGCCAGGGAACCCAGTGCTGACACATATTTTGTATAATTTACCAAACTGTTTTATTGTTATTAGGTCTTCTCATGAAGTTTGCTTGTGAAGAATTTATACCAAGTCCATAGGCCGAAAAGCAATGTGAGCACCGTTATCAACCCTTTAACTTCCACTGACCCAATTCTGCGTGTCTAGCTGACAAGGGTGGACTGTCTGCCCCACATCCGGCGCTTTTTTCAATCCTACGTGTGAACGCCTCCACCTCCTCCTCTGCGACTGTAATTCCCAGTTGACAACGAAGCGAACAAAAAAAGCAAATTACTCGCGGCGATGCTATGAAAGGTCAGTTGGGAACTAGCTATAGGTCAGAACATGGCCATAAGGAAGTCATAGCACAGGGCTCGGTAAAAGCGCTGTATAACACATACCCCTTCGCGAACAGGTTTAAAATCCACGTGAAGTCTCAAGTTTTGTTCGTATCTCAGCATTCTTGTGATTTTTTTTTCACCGCGTTCCGTTAAGGAGAAATAAAAGCTGGCAAAGTTAAGCAGCTGACAATTTTTTGATATGTCGAAGCATGAATGATGTCAACTAAATTTCTCACTTATGTATCATCAGCATAGTAAGTTCAAACTTGTGTACTCTTGGTATGTGCTCTACGAATGTCTTCATCTCCCTGTATCACTCTAGGATCCTACTTTACCTAAATTCGCGGTCCTCGGTTCGTCTGTTCGATATGTGATTAGATCTGCTTCAAACTCTCTTGCTCAACGGAAAGCTCTTTCTTATTTCTACTGCAGCTTCACTCTTCCTGGACTACACATCTTAGTGACCATAGGCCGTTTCCACGTAGATCGAACTCATAGCACTGCCATGTGCTATCTAGTACATCTACTTCCCATATGCTGACATTAAATTTCAGGATACGGTAGCATATCAAGCGGTCAGTCCATTGCAGAGATGATCTATTGTTTCATGGGAGACCGTTCACTTACAGGGCTGTCGACAAGACAGAGTAACTCAGACTCCACCGTTGATAAACTGAATCTTTCACTGATTCTTCATTGCTTCGAAATCTCAGAGGGATATTATGTAGCATTTTATCAGCTCTTTTAGTGAAGAAATTATGTCGTGCGCATAAATTGTTCCAGAACTCTTGACTTGTTTGGTTATCCTTGCCAACAGATTTCTATTAAGATATTTATGATTGAAATATTTTCATAGCAGAATAGATGCAAGCACTAAAAGTGTAGTACTTTTATAGCAGGCTAAACTCGTCATTGATGTTGTAGTGACTCCTGTGATAAGTAAACATCTATCATATCTGCTATAAAAGTGCAAAAGTAGCGCTTTCCACAATACAGGAACTGAGTATTAACGTTCTGCAACATGAAGTGACTTGAAATCCATTCAAGCAGTAGCTCTGGCAAGATCTGACTATTGCGGGTATACGACAAAATTACAGAACTGTAAAGCGATATAACGGAAAAAAGGATGACCGTCGAATCTTTTATGTCTCTAATAGGTTTTTTTAGAGATTCATTACCTTCTACTCTTTAATATTCATGAACCCATGTCAGTTTGACTTCGTACTTGACTCTTTCAAGAGGGAAAGTAAGTATCAGCTAACAACCTATTACTATATCGATTAGTTTAGTGATCTACCACGAGATGCAATCGTAAAGCCTTTGAAGGTGGTCCACCACCTCTATCAGTGACGGTACCATCATTATCGATTGACGAACTCGGTGCATATCCGTGTCTCGTTGCCATTATAGACGAGTTGTATCACCGCGTACGAGTTTGTCGTGACGTAATTATGCACCGCAATGGGATACTGTAGCAGCGGTAGCAGCGCGAAGTGAGATTTTTTGATTTTTCCAATCTAGTCATTTTTATTTCATAATTATTCCTAATTTTCTCATTCGTTCTTCAGTTTTTTTCTAGTTTTAGAAGTCAAAGGTCAAGAGATTACCCTAATTTTGTAAGTTTCATCAATGTGGAAAAGTCTCGTGATCAGCATGGTTTTCACAAATCACTAAATTTCAATCTTTTTCTTTTTTAGTCTTTCTTTCACTTTTTTCTCCTCCTTTTCTCTTTTTTTTTCTTCTAGCGAATTTCGGAAGTTTTTAGTTTCAGTTGTCTACAAATAATAATGAGCAGGTCGAATGTGCCTGAATCACTGCCGTTTCGTGCTGTAAGTACTTTTCTCCTGAATTCCCCACTTTTAATTTGTCATATATCTCGTTATAGCTATGTAGTGTATCTCTCAGTGAAGCTATTCAGCTTCTCATCTTCAGGGGTTCACAGGGTTATGTAGCACTTTAGGAAATTTACAGCCAGAAACTCAAAATCTGCAGTTGACTGTCACTTTTTTTAGTCTTTTATCAAGTTCGTACGATCTCTGAGTAACAAAGAGTCATCGTTTCATAACTGTTGTGACCGATTCAATAAAAGCTTTCCGTAAATTGCTTTTTTTGTATATGATCATTCATGAGTGTTCTGGTGAGGTTTAGGATTGGACTATACGTCACGCAGACTAAAAAGAATTTGAAAGTTTTCCACGTTTCTACTAGTTATTAAAACAAACTTATTGGAATTAAGGGCATCAATGGCTCAAAGCTGTTGACGATGAGACCGACGTATAGTGACGGTAATAAAACGGTATTCATCGTACACTACATTTCCATAGATAAGAGCGATCTGTGCTGGAAAATAATACCTAGCAGTAGTTCTGTAATTTTTAGTAATTTCAATACCTTAGTATTTTATAGTAGTTTTTATTCATCATTACCACTGAGAAGGCAAAAAACGCGAAAAAATGTTTCATTAGCGAAATGCGCGCGTGGATGTCCGCTTTTTTCCACAAAAGTTAAACCGTTCCTATCAATGGAACTTCAGGGTAGTAGAGGCAATCGCAAATCGTTTTTTTCCAAGCCTTACTTATGCAAGAATCATGATGATAAGTGACGAATGACTTTCTCAGTGTGTGCATCAATTTATGACTTTCATACTTTTTTCTAATGCTGAACAGACAAAGAAATGAGTAAGCCCAAGGCACTTCTTACCTTTTTAGGCGGCTGTTCGCGCACTGTTTAATCTTCGCGGTAAGGAGCTGGATAACCCCGTCACAAGCTGGGAACCATATCGACCTAGAAGGAAGAAGACGGTCAGTAAAATCTAAATTAGTAATTAAAATGTAGCAGCTATCGCCATGTCCTATAATACACCTCTTTAAAAGACTTTTGTCGAAAATCACGTCATTTATTTTATTCCATGTCTCCTCTATGTTTCTCGTTAAAACATTATATATCTGAGTTGAAGCTTATGCTCATGCGTAAGTTGTGAGTGGAATTCTAGAATTAGCAGATATAGTTTGTTTCTTTATAGGCTGTGAAAACAAGCAGAAGAAGGAGAGGGAGCATTGTTCATTGTTCCGTGAAGGGACCTCGGAATACGGAAACACTGGTGTGAGCCCATCAGTTCACGATCATTGTTCGCAAGGCGAAAGAACAGATATCTCCGTGGATTTGCCAACATACGACCGCTGTTCGGAACTCAAAGCAACAGATATGTCCATGGTCTCTATAAGTAATGATGAGTGTCCAAAAGGTGGAACAACAGAATTCCTTCATTACCTCACCAACTTATGACCAGTTTTCAGAGCTGAGACAAAACAGATTTTTTCCGGCGTGTTACCACATTATCAATCTTGGGATCCCGGGGTCAGCGACTACTCCATAGACTCACCAATCTACGAGTATTGGCCGGTGCACAGAACTTTTGACGTAAACACATCGATTGTTGAGCATTTATCGGAGCAGGAAAATATCGAAACATCTCTAGAATCTCTAGATAGGAATCCTTCAAATGATGAGCTTCTACGAAGCGATGCCGCACGTCCACTCAGAAACAGTGAGTAGTAATTTTGAGACCTGCTGACTGAATTTTATTTGTCTTTAATCAATGTTCAAAACTGTAAGAGTTGCCATAACTTCAGACTTAAGCAACATCCGATTTTGGCGGCAGTTCTTTCCTTTTATCAAACCGCTTAAGCAGAGCTATGATGCCGAATGCATATATATGCATGTACCTATTATATATATAATATAATATATATATATATATATATATATATATATATACATATATGTATATACATATATATATATACATGTATGTGTGCATGTACTTATATCTTAATCTAGAGTGATGTGCAGAAACTTTAACGTCAAACGGGATTCAAACCCGCACTTCACCCTTTTGGGGCCGCGTGCTAACCAGTTGCACTACCGACGCGTGTTCTCTCATCATCAGTAACAATGGAATTCATCGATCTGTAGCAATCAACAGTCAACAGTTTGGCTCCGCATGCGTATGTTCACATAGATTCTTGCACGCTGACAGAATTAGTTAGATACGTTGGTAATCGAGTAGAAATCTTTTCATTCAGCTGCTTTGTTGGTTGTCGAAGGATCGATGCATTCTGTCAGGAATGACGGACTACACAATAGGAGCATAAGTAGTGCAAATGTTAAGCATGGGCCCACGGAAAGTGTGAAATAGGGTTTGATTCCGTCTGGCGTCTGAAGCTGGGCACATCACGTAGAAATTAATGTTGAGCTCTTTCTATTCAGTTGAAAGGTGCATTAGTAAGATATTAACGGTATTCTAGATCATTTTCGAACGTTTACAGTGGCTCACTGTATTCAGAATAATTCTACGGATCACTGTTTGCTTTTTAGTCTTTACTATCTGTTTTAAATCATCAATTTGGGCACGTTATAACGATGATGTAGCATAAGGCACTTTGATTTTTGTGCACAATCATCGATTGAGAAATCAGAGGAGTATTTTGGACTTTTACATGTGATTATTTTCCATGATGGGTAAGAACAAAATTGCTGCCTGTAGTGTGATGTCACTGTTAAAATTACCACTTCATGTATCAGAGCAGAAAAAAGGCAATAAAGCCCAAGACAATTACCTTTCCAGGCAGCAGTTCGTGCATTATATAAAATTCGCGGTCCAGACTTAGACACTCCAGTCGCAAGCTGCGAACAACCGCGACGTAGAAGAAGGTATAGGCAGGTTAGTAACTGTAAATTAGTGAATGTAATGTAGCAATAGTCGTCAAATACTGGAATGTACCTTATTCAATGGACTTTTGTCATAGATCATTCAGTTACTCCGATTTTGTGATTCCTAGTTGTTTCCGGTAAAACATTATATACGTCTGAACGGATGTTGAGCACGTCTTGAAGCGTAAGTTGTAAATGAAAATCGAGAATTAGTGAATATGGTTTGTCTTTTTACAGGCTGTGAAAACAGATTAAAAAAGAACAGAATGCAGCTCATTATCCCATAAGCAGCCCTTTTTTGACCTGTTGAAGCAATAATGATGCCAGCTTTTTTTCCCACACTGGGCCATCAGCATGATAAGTTCAAATTCCTCTTCTCTCATTGTGTACTCTAAGAATGTCTCCATCTCCGTATTTCAACACCCTGGCACTCTACTCCGCCTAAACTCATGGTCCTTGTTTCGTTTGTGTAGTATGTGGTTTGTTCTGCTTCAAACTTTGTCACTCAGTGGAAGCTCTTCCTTTTTTCTAATGCTCTACATAACGAACACTTCTTAGCGACCATAAGCCGTCGGCACATAGATCAAACTCATCGCATGCCTTTATGACATGTGCTTTTTAACATGACCGTCTACCATTCCTGTTGTTCATGGCACGGTTGCCTATTAGGCCACTAACCTATCGGAAAGATGATCTACAGCCTACGGTCTCACTCTTCAAAGAGTAGTCAATAGGCTGTTGACATGGCTGAGTAACCCACTTTCCATCAAAGCTGATGAAATGAATTTTTCATTCATTCATTGTTTAATGATTCAATAATCGTGGAGAGATATTATGTAGCATTTCATCAATTTTTCTGTTCAGGAAATTGTATTATGCACGTGAATCGTTACCGTATTATTGACTTGTTCGGTTATCCTTGTCAACGATTTCCGATTAGATATTTTTGCTTGAAATATTATCATAACAAATTAATTGCAAGCACTAGAGTGTAGCCTTTTTTCATAACGGACTAGTTGCGTCATTGATGTTGTAATGATTTATGTGATGAGTAAACATCTAATAAAATTGTAATGAAAGTGTAAAAGTTGTGCTATCTATAAAGGAGAAGTTCGAAAAGAACGTCTTGTAACTTGAAGTGATCCACTCAAGTAGTGGCTGTGGCAGTATTCGTCAAATGCGGGTGTGCGTCAAAAAAACAGAACTATATATGAACCAAACGGAAAAAGGATGAACGTCGAATGTGGATGAAAGGTGTTGATAATGACAATGATAACAGAGAAAGTGATGACAATGTTTTCAGGTATCAATAAATGTGTCATGGCTAAAGCAGCCGAAACTAAGGTGCTATGTTATAGTTCAGCTTTGAAGAATAACCATAATGGCACACACTCCTCAGCTATCGCCACCGTCATTCGTCGACTAGAAGTGGCTGAGATGCGATCATTAATAAAACTACCGCTTTTTACGATTTTTCCAAATCTCTCTTATCGTTATGATTCTATTTCTCTCACACTGTGTCGCCTTTCTCATCACTTTATCCCCGCTTATATCTGCCAACTTTATCCTTCATACCTTCATAAGATTCAACAAAACAGCTTAATTCATGAAGAATTACACTCAAACGGCTATCAGCTGACAAGTTTTGGCAAAGTTGTAAGCCTCTGAATGAGACCCGCGTTGACGCGAACGCTGTTGGTCCAGTGACTTTAGCATCGTACAGTCCTTCGTCTTTCTGCGGACCACATGGTGCTCCTATGTGCAAAAGTGCATAAAATGAATAATGCTCATATTAAATTCACGTAGCAAGTTATTCTTTACCTTCGCTCCATAGCCCTAATTTATAATTTTCTGCATTTCATACTGAGTATATTTTCATTAAGTATTTTACCAGAAATGTTCGACTTTACGATATCTTCTACAGCAGTAGCAACGCCGAAAGAAATAGCCGAATGTGTCACTACGATGTAGAAACAAGTGAAAAAGCGAATGTCCTTTCAAGTTGCCGTGACTAATTTACTGCATAATCACCGCTCTAGATATCGAGTCGTTCCATAGCTTTGGCCACAAGAACAAGAAACATCAGATGTGTTAACCAGAAATAATTCAAATAGCATGATTTTGATATCGCTCAATTGCGCATTTTCTTGTGAAAAATTTCTTGTACAACTTGCTTATACCTGACTTGTGGTGAAGCTATTGTGGGAACAAATTCGTTCGCTATTATGCACGGACGGCGCGTGGGGGAAACTGTTAGTGAGACCTGGAATGATGATACGGTTGCATAAAGGACGGCTAGGAACGTGATTCACGAAGTTTCACGCTGAACAGAAGAGTGTAGAAGATCAGTCGTGCTCGGGACATCCACAGGAAGCTCCATTTATTCTGCGCACCGTTTCGCTATCATTTTCCTACGCATCGTTCCTGCATGAGTAACAGGCGAATTTGTTCAATTATATGCAATATGTAAACTAAAATGCTTTGAGAAAATGCGCAATTCAACGATACCAAGGTCATGCAATTCTCACTACTTCTGGTTAGTTGATTTGGTATTTATTGCTTTGATGCCAAAACTAATGGAACGGCCTGATATTTTTTTTTTTTTTGTTTCGTATCAGGCATTAATGATTGTAGCAAGTTTGAATCTTGGGGTTTGATACTCTATGCTTTCATATTGGAATCATAAAAAACGGAATATCGATGTCGTTCATGATTGAATTTTGCTTTGTGTTCATTTTCTTCTGCGAGATCATTCTAACATATCTACAAGAATGCTCGAATAGGTATGGCTGGAAGTAAGAGAGCGAGAAGAGCATGGATGGTGTCGTACCAGTGCCCGCAGCTCTGAGAAGGCACAGTGGCGGTTGGAGTTTATGGCACAAAAACACCAGGTGCCAAGTTTTTCTTACATCTCAGCATCCTTGTGATCGTAATTCGCATCGTTTCTTGCAGTTCAGGATTAAATTATGTAACACATAAGGAAACTAATAGAAAAAACAGTGATGCGAATAAGCGGGGTTTGCGAAAAATATCACTACTACTGACTTCGTATACCCAATAACAAGACCCATTAAAGTTTCACCAAATTCTCGCTTCGTCTCACTTTTATCGAATTGAAGAAGGTTTTTGATTTATCAAAACAGAACTAGTCATAGAATCTCTGGACAACCAGAGATTTTCTCCTCATTGCACAAGAATTCTTTGTGAGTGTGTAAAATTTCACATTCAGAACATCGCCCTTTTTTTGAAATTAATGTCGTTGTTAACATAAGGAGAGGAGTTGAAAGAAGCGATGCCGTTTCTCAGATTCACAACAAGGGATGGGGGGATTCAACGGTTAACAATTATATCATTTTCGCTCCGCTAAACATCTTACAACACCAGAAATCAGCCAGGTTGAGAAATGATGACCGATTTCGACAATGTTTCTGGAAAGATTAGTTTGCGACTGGACCTAGCATAAACAACCATAATGAAAAGCGGATTCACCCCAAATACTCCAATTACGCTCAACAGTATGAGTATCTGCAAAAGCTCCAGTTACATTTATCTAGGAGGGGAAGTTAGTGTCATGAACGGCCTACACCAGAGTTGAGTATGGGAGAGCTGCGATCGACGTTGTTGAAAAGACAGCAAAGAACATATGACTTAGCTTTTCAATTCAGCGATTATCATTACTTTAATATTTAATCAGAAACCTAGTCGCTACGTAAGCGGGATGAAATATATTATGTGGTGTTGTTGGATACTCAGCCGGAACGTCGAGGCTAAGAGTATCCCGTATGTCGAAATGAGAAAAGGAATCCAAAATCTTGATTTATGACAACCACTGGAGATTGAAGATGCTATTCTATGCGCCAGGCTAACGAAAGCGAAAGAGGTTGGACATGTGATATGCTTGAACGACACCGATAGACAAGTCCCGACCGACTGGATTCCGCGGGATACAAATAAGAAAGGGCTCAAATTCTTCCAAAAAAAAAAAAGACGGAACAAACGTCGTAGTTAAGTACCGAAAACTGGGAGCTGCTTCCTGATCCCAGTCACGAAGAGTGCAGCGATTCCAACTATCGTTCTCAGAGGGGTTAAGTAGGCTGTACCGCTTATTGTTTGATGAATAAGAACATATTCGATATTTAATCTACAAAATTTAATTGATGCTTTATGTTATTCACTTGAAGGCACTTGTAATGCAGTGAAGTGAGTTGATTTGAACAT